GGGGGGGGGGGGGGTGAAACTGCAGCACCCAGGAAGTCAGGATTGGCGTAGAGTGCCAAACTTACAGCTTCGGGCAATATAAAACAGGCTGATTGTCAGTGTCCATGGCACAGTGCTCAACAGGAGGGGGTGGGATATTAAGACATCAAAGATTCTCCTAACTTCAGCTTTAGACATTCAGACTGAACTGTACAAAGTCATAGCATGTGTGTCATGCCAAAACGGTTGAAGGAACATTTTGAAAGGGACCAAAGCAGCTTATCCCATTCATCTCAGTGGCTTTAAGAAAGACTGTGAGAACTAAAGCAAACCAGCTGTCTCAAGAAACCGATGAAAGCTAAACAAAGTTTTAATGCACATCTGCAGTCAAAGCAGATGCTGAAGAAATTCAACATGTGGAGATCAAACCAGTAGCTAAAGCTCAGAGCCCCAGTTACCTTCCACCAGTAAAAAAACAAATGGGAGCAACAAATGGGCTGTGGAACATTTGCCTTCCGTTTAGGTTTTTGGTCTCTTAACCACAGCAAAGACTAAAGTTAGCTCAGACAATTTGTGGACCAGTTTAGGAAGAATTGTAAAAGATGGGGCTGGTGGTGATAAACTAAGAAAGTAGGTGCAGCTACAGCTAATTTAACTACAAATGCTAAATGGAGGCAAAACTTCAGTGTCACATTATCTCACATCTACCTGCCAGCCTGCTACAAAACAGTTCACAACAGCCCAAAGTGATGTAACGTTACTGTAAAGAAAATAGCAACACCACAAGCAAAATACAATTAAAATGTCACTTTTTCCAACCTATTCTCTTCGCATTACTGTATTTTTTCTCAACCATGTACTTTATTGCCACAAACTTCATTGAACATTTAAGCTTTAAAACTGCGTACAAACGCTGTAAAGCATTTAAACAATGTTAAGTATCCATAGAGTGGCGTGGTCTTGTTCGCAGTCTGTCGGCGGCGGAGTGATAGTCAGCCAACCGACCTTTAGCTCCTAAACTTTCTCCACCTAAAGTTTGTATCACTTTGGAATCTAAATAAGAGCCAACTTACCTTGTCCCGGCCATTTTCTTCACATTGTAAACGAGGCGTAAACAAAAGGAAAACTATGTTCTGCTGGTGTCGGGACTAGGGTTAATTTAGTTAGCGTGCAGCGCGGTCCGCGGAGTGAGCAGGGGACGGTCCTCCGGTGGTGAATCCGATGTGGAGTCTCCGCCTCTGCACGTGAGTCATAGGTTGGGATGGGGGTCACCCAGTCTGCACCCCCCACCCTTCCCCCTCTCCTCCTCCACCGCCACACAACCCCCCCAAAACTCTCCCCCTCTGTCCCCTCGACTAACTGACTGGAAAGAGTCGAGACCAAACCATAAGCAGAACATTTAGTGGCTCAGTTGGCTGAACGAAACAAGAGTGATAAACTGTTGAGCCCATGAGACCAGAACTGTCGCATCAAGCTTCAACGGAACATTAACGGTCCTCCAATGTCCGCCAACGGCTCCTGTAGTTGGAGCAAGATAAACAACTTATAGGCTACCAAAGTTAGGCGAAAATAACTGCGTCGACTTGTTTTTTTCACAGTTTATTTATTGTGGTTGTTAAAAGGCAGACACCCCATTGTTTCTGTTAGTTACGTCTTTATTTGTTAAATATGTGCTGTTATAATAGTTAGCTAACTTAACCAACACCAGATTTTAGCCCTAATGCTGAAGCCACATCTTGAAAAGTAGCACTGCGGTTGCTAAGCGACGTCGGGTTAAAGATAGTTTAGATAGTTTTGTTTATGATTGAATTGACATTTGAATATCATATCAGGAACACGATAGGCTTCTTTTCACAGTGTATTCTCACCTGACTCAGCCAATCAGAAAAGCTGAGGACCTTATCTATCTCTTTTATGACCACAACTGAACTGCTTGTAGTTGCAGTGAGCCGTAGGTACCTGGTGTTAGCCGTGGACAAGCAGACAGAGACACCTGCTGGACAGCAACACTAACGGCCGTGCAATTTCAGAATAAAAGTCGGGTCATGTTTATGGTCAAACAACACTTTATTCACAATTACTATCAGCACTCATGTCTATGGAAATATTTGCTAAAAAAATCAAAGAAGCTAACAAAGTCAGGTAGCTTAAATTCACATCAATAAGTATTACACTGTTGTGTTGTTCCTCTGGCACAGAGTAAACTATATATCCATCAAATGTACATGGCGCATCCGTTCACAGTGAACCCTTTAAGTGCTTTTCTGATCTAAGTAAGGAAAGGACAAACATACAAATTGCGGGCAAGGACATTTCTCAAGCTACATTTCTCCCTATAAGTTCATTTTGTCAACTCAAATCATACAATGAGGTCTGCCTCTTCAGTATTATAAAAAATATTGTAAACATTTATATTAATTGCACAACATACATTCAAATACATACTGTACTGTACAGCAAGATGTAACTTCTGTATTGTTATCCTGTAGCACCATGTATAGCAAGCTGAACAAACTATTTGGATACTTCTACAGTGTGGTACTGACAATACAAAGGAGTAAAATGGCATTCACTAATGATGCATTCTGCCAGTGGTCAAATGTGCTGGAGGTCTGGATTGTATCATTGTGAGATTGTGATTAGTGTAGGCCCGTTCAAAGAGTGGGGTTGGATCAATGCAGACAATCTCTAGTCACCTCACATCTCACAGCTTTGAGGAAGATGAAACTTCATGAAGGACATTCATCAGCGTTAAGATCAACTATAATACAAAAGATTATGGCGGAGAGTTTATCGTTGGTCGTTTAAAAGTCCATACCACTTCCATGTGCAGACACGTTGGTGCAGAGAAAGAAAATATGTCCCGTTACTCCAAGAGCTAATGAGTTAGCTAATCAGCATGTGCCACAGAGACATCATGAGGCCATGACATCGTTGTGTAGCAGCAGAGGTGACATGTAACTCATCATGTTTTCCACCCAGTCCCATATGACATGAAAGAAAGCTGATAAAAGCTGATATATATTATGTACAAGCAGTACTGTTAGACTGAATGGCTTGTGGATACCAAACGGTCCCACCTGATTCACAGTATCCTGTTGATGTTATGGTCCTGGCAGGTGGGGTAACAGAAGATGTACATGAGAATGAAATGTGTGCGAAGGTAGAATTGACAGTTGGAGAGTCTTTATGCTTCCTCTCAGTCTCAGCGATCTCCTCTGCTTGGGT